AAAAAAAAAAAAAATGAACTTGTCTTTGCAATTAGATGTATCTAGAGAAAGAAAACAGTCTGGGTAGTGAGCCTCATAACTAATCCTAGTAGTTTGGGAGGCTAAGCAGGAGGATTGCTTGAGGCCAGGAGTTCAAGATCAGCATGAGCAAGATCTTGCTTCTACAAAAAATAGAAAAACTAGCTGGATATGGTGGCACATTCCTGTGCTCCCAATTACACAAGTTGTTGTGAGCTATGATGATACCACGGCACACTAGCCTGGGCAGAGTGAGATTTTTGTCTCAAAACAAAACAAGGGGCCAGGCATGGTGGCTCACACCTGTGATCCTAGCACGCTGGGAGGCCAAGACAAGTGGGATTGCTTGAGCTCATGAGTTCTAGACTCTAGACTAGCCTGAGCCAGAGGGAGACCCTGTTTCTAAAAATAGCTGGGTGTTGTAGCTGGCACCTCTAGTCCCAGCTACTTGGGAGACTGAGGGAAGAGAATCACTTGAGCCCAAGAGTTTGAGGTTGCTATGAGCTGTGACACGATGGCACTCAACTGATGGTGACAAAGTGAGACTCTGTCTCAAAAAATAAAAATAAAAAAATAAGGATTTTGTTTTTCAAAGGAAATTATACTATCATTTTTCTTTTTTTCCTTTTCAAATGCTTATTCTTAAATGTACAATAGGCTCCAAGACAGCCCTTTATTCTAGCTATAGATGATAAAAGATGATATGGCATCAAAAATTATCATTGCCTCAGACATAAGAAACAACCTACTTGCCAGATTGCTTAATTCCACCTGTGTGGGGGCTGCTTTTCCATTGGCTTCAGCTCCTGGAGTTTCTTCTCCTCCTTGGTTTCTGCTTGGATGCCTCATCTTCCTAGTCCATTTCATTGCCTCCTGTTTGGATCCTTTCAGGGCCACGTTCTTGTCACCTGAGGGCCACATGAGCATGTTTGGCCTGGACCCAGCCCAGTCATCCGGCACACTTATCCTTCCAGAATAAATCCATTTTTTCTTTTACTTTTTGTGTGTACTTCTCTTTTACTTTCCTTTATGCTTTTGATTTTTGACAGTGAGGCAAGATCAAATATGGATTCATAAAATTTAGTTCCTCATTATTCTTATTTTGCTGTAAATGCTTGTGTAGGTGGGTTTCTTGTTAACTAAGCTTTGGAAAACTAGAATATTCATTTTCTGCTCATTTACATTTTTTATATATAGGTTTTCAAAGATCCTTACTATGTTAACTTTAGCATCTTGTATATAATAACATAGAAAAAACTTTTTATTTCTGTGAGAGCGTCAGATATGATCAGATTAGATAAGTGCTGTGGTCTTGGATACTGTTGTGTTTGGGGGTTTTTTTGAGATGAGGTTTTCCTCTGTTGCTCATGGGTTAGAGTGCAGTGGTATCATCATAGCTTCTTGCAAGTTCAAACTCCTGGGCTCAAGTGATAGTCTTGCCTCACCCTCTGAAGTAACTGGGATTATAGTGTACCACCACCACACCCAGCTGATTTTTCTATTTTTTTTTTTGTAGTGACTAGGTCTACAGTGTCGCTTAGCCTGGTCTTGAACTCCTGGCCTCAAGCAATCCACCTGCCTCTGCCTCCCAAAGTGCTAGGATTACAGATCTCAGCCACAGTGCCCAGCCGTGTATTAGTCTGATTGCCACATGTTTACCCCTCTCTTCAGCTGCTGCATTCTGAGAAAGCATTTATGGCTTCTTAGACTTTTGCTTAGTAAATTATGTGTGCCCATTGAAATGATAATTTGATTTTCCTTGTTGTTTTTGTTTGTTTT